AAAAATCATGTTTGTATTTTTGTCCTTGAAATTCAATTAAGCCCTGTACTTGCTGAAGTTGCTTGCTCTCCATAGCAGTTCAAATGTAAAGAAATGAAATATAAAATAGAGTGCTTTGAATGCACTCAGTTCAAAGTCACCATTTTTTCTGAAACTGAGTCAATATTGAGAGTAAGTCATTTTATTTTGGACTGCAGTACCGGGGGGACTGTAGTGAAATAATGATGTGCAGTCTGTAAGAATTAGCTTGATAACTGAAGCAATCTTTCCAAACCTGTTTTACAGGTGGATTTCAATTTCAGCCATTCTGAACAATTGATTGTGATGGATGACAATTAGGACTTGTAGATGCCAGGATATGAAATCATATTTTGTATGCCTCAAAATAGGAGGTACATGGAGGAAATAATTATGATTTACACAGCAGGTCCATATAGGATTACATAATACCTTACATTGGGAAGGGAAGGAAAAAATCAAGATGCACATTGTTAGTTGCAACAGTAACTGGCAATACCAAATAGTTTGTGAATTGAGCCCCCCCCCCCCCGTGGAATGGGATATTATTCGGGATTAAGGATGGATGCATCCATAAAATAATTGCTACGACACATTGTGTAAGAGGCAGATTCTGCTCATATTCAAATGATTGGAAAATATGTACTGCTGAAACTGGTAGGTAGAATGGCTTGCTCAGAATGGCTTGCTACTGGCAATCACTAATTACCATGGCCTCAGTATCTGAACCGATCCTAGACTTCAGGAATTTGTGCCCAGATTGTAATGAGCTCTTACCCCCTATTTTCCACTGTTACAACTACCTTGCATTTCTGTGACTTGCAAACTAGTAACAAGACCTCTGCTGTGCCCCAAAACAAGGGTGGGGAGCCTCTACTCCAAGGGGGGGGCATATACCTCTTAAGAAAAACGGTAGAGCTCAGCCAAAGCTAGACAGCGAAGTCCTAGTGTTTAAAAGTGCTCCCTGCTGCACTTTTTGGTCTCCCTCCAGTAGCTCCTTGTCATTCAAAATGAAAATGTGAAATATAGACCATTCCTGTCACACTCCTGTACTATACACATCAGTCTGAAAGTTTGTAGAC